CACAGCAATTGGTCATGTGAACATATTAGATTGATCATGTGGACACAGCAATTGGTCATGTAGGCATATTAGATTTGTTATGTAGACATATTGTATTGGTTTATGTGGATATATTATATTGATTGGGTATACATTGAATAGGTCATGTGGACATAATAGATTGATCATGTGGACACAGCAATTGGTCATGTGAACATATTAGATTGATCATGTGGACACGGCAATTGGTTATGTAGGCATGTTAGATTTGTTATGTAGACATATTGTATTGGTTTATGTGGATATATTATATTGATTGGGTATACATTGAATAGGTCATGTGGACATATTAGATTGATCATGTGGACACGGAATTGGTCATGTGGACATATTAGATTGATCATGTGGACACAGCAATTGGTCATGTGAACATATTAGATTGATCATGTGGACACAGCAATTGGTCATGTAGGCATATTAGATTTGTTATGTAGACATATTGTATTGGTTTATGTGGATATATTATATTGATTGGGTATACATTGGATATGTCATGTGAACATATTAGATTGATCATGTGGACACAGCAATTGGTCATGTAGGCATATTAGATTTGTTATGTAGACATATTGTATTGGTTTATGTGGATATATTATATTGATTGGGTATACATTGAATAGGTCATGTGGACATATTAGATTGATCATGTGGTCACGGAATTGGTCATGTGGGCACATTGGATTTATTATGTAGACATTGGATGTGTTATGTGGATATATTGCATGGGTCATGTAGACTTGTTGGATCAGTCATGTGAATATATTAATATAAATTAATGCGTATACATTACTTGTGATGTTCTGCTCACACACACAGAGCAAAATCACCAAATCTCTGAAATGGCAATGTCTAACTAGGATTTCATATTTTTCTGATATTCTTTAACAAGTTTGTCTAATTCGATTAGATATGTGTCTTCTACACCAGCAACATTGTGGGTGAAATCCAAGACTTTGGTCACATATTCATCATTCTTCATTCCAGTGGTTCCAACACCCTGTGCAATGAACTGTGCCGTCGTTTTGATGTCCTCACGTCCTGTGAACTGTGCAATACCTTCTCCACAGTTAAAAATTTCCACTTCTACAGTTTCTTTTGATTGGTCTTTTGGAAAAAACACTGTTTTTGTAGGATGGCAAAGTTCCCGAGTGATGAGTTTATTCAATACTTCTTCTTTGTCCGTATCAGAAACGTAAAGTGCTACACCCCAAACTTTACTCTGGGAATCAAGAACAATTCAAAACTGTTAAATACTGCATTAAGAACTGATGTAAAACTACAGAGACAAAAAATGCTTTTTTTTTCACAATCAAGTGATATTCTTTTGCTCAGTGACATGCTGCTGGGATATATTGCACCTAATTGTCAAGCAAGCAAAATATCTCTGCCAATGTGCAATAAATACCATGGGTGATATGTTGTAACAATGCCAGGATTCCATCCTCAACTGAACTGAATTGTTTAAAGATGCATGTCACATCATCTTAGACATCATCATGTGACATCTAAATTATTCAATTTTTAATTTTGCCAGAATAATAATTATTTATCACCCTATCAAAGCATAACTACTACTATCTTAACATAACAGTACATACATATTATATTTAATTGCTTGTAGTACAAACTGTGGATTGGTCATGTGGATATGTTATGTAGACGTTGCATAAGATATGTAGACAGATTAAATTGGTCATGTGGACACATTGAGTTGGTCATGTGGACACATTGAATTGGTCATGTGGACACATTGAGTTGGTCATGTGGACACATTGAGTTGGTCATGTGGACACATTGAATTGGTCATGTGGACACATTGAGTTGGTCATGTAGACATATATCACACACTATCAAAGCATAACTACTACTCTATTCACAGTATATATTCTCTGCACAACAAAGGCATTCTCTTCATCTTTATAAACATTTAAGAACTTCACAATTCAAACTGGAACTAGAGGTTGGCTAACTGAATAACTTTGGTACGATTTCAAATGATGTTGTTGTGCTCTGTGCTCATTGATTGGCTGGTTTGATTATACTGCCATTGATATTCATAAGTATTTATAAAAATAAAGGAATGCCTTTGTTGTACTGAGAATATTCTGTGCAGCTTTTGTAATATTTGTTTACATAACTTAACAAAATTCATATTTACCTCTGAGTCACTTTCCATTAGTGCAGCTACTCTGCCAGGCTAGAGTGGTGAGAAATATATATATAAAATCAAGGGTGAATAAATTCATGGGTATGGAACTTCAGTAACGTGAAATCTTGCATACAAAGTTCAGTACATCAAAAGTAGATGGGTAAAGAGATAATGACGTGAAACTTGATGTGACAATCGCTTGAAAATCCAACACATCACCACACTGGCATATGGCAACATATGAGGGTCACGGCCATGCTTGTTGAAGAGTGTCATGTTTGAGTGACATGTCGCCGGTACATAGTCTTTACACACTTTTTTTTACCCGTACCATTGTCACCATTTAAAACTTAATTGGGATTCGCGCTGTTCGACCCACCAACCAATAGGAATCGTGCTCTTCGCAGAGTGACACTGCGATCCTGTCGCAGAGTGCAATAATCGACATTCGGCGAGTTGCACAATCACCAAGTACCAAGATTGTAAATGTTTTTTTCTGAGTCAGAAAGATGAATGTCGAGTCCTTTTCGCAGAGTGTGTGATTTGAGATGGTCATTGAACGATGATCAAGGATCGCTAAATCGTCGTCGCGCTGCTTCAGTTTCACAGTACATTAAAAACGAGTAGGCTCGTGGGTAGATGCTTATTTGTAAACAACGACACACCATGATTGTCTGCCACAGGTTAACCCCCCCCCCCCATTGACCCCCACCCACTAATCTACAGTCAGACTAACCTTTTCCTTTGTGCCACGATTGATGACACTCTCCTGCCAAAATCGACGACAGAAACCTTTCACGTGACCCACCATTTTTTCCTTATATTCAAAATTTGGTCGCCAAATTAACGAACCGTAGCCAAAAATCCACGCCATTTTTATTATTATGGAAGTTGTTTTCTGGACGACATGCCCCGGACCTGACCTCCCGGTCGATCGGGTCACCTTGATTCACATGTGACAGCGCCCTCAATGTTCAGTTCCGACTTTTTTGACGCATGCTGACCAACGTATCCGGTGCACTTCCAGCGTTATCAAACGAAAGCGTAACTATAGTGCTATTAAAAGAAAACATAATTATGGCGTTATCAAATAAAAACGTAGTAATAACAACCTTTATTGACATCGTATTCTCTCTGGGATCTAGATTAGAATACAATAAGGATATAATGAACAATAAAATACATAAGGAATAATAATAATAATAATAATAATAATAATAATAATAAAAAAGAAATAGTAAAAGCATATTAATTTAATATAAAAAGGTAATTATATAGTTATCAAATGAAATGGGATTATAGCGTTATCAAGAGAAAATGTACATACAGTATTATGAAACTAAATTGTCAGAATCGTGTAAGAATATATACTAGTAACTATTCACGTGGATAGAGAGAAAGTCAAAATTGGAACATGGCAGTTAATCTTGAAAATACCAAGGCTTTGGTGTTTCTTTTAGAAAGGAAGGTCTTATGCCAATTCTGAACAATGGTTTATCGGCAGTAATGTCATGGAGGTAACTGGTTATTATAAATATGTAGGTCCTGTTCCATCCTCGAGAAACTATTGGTTAAAAGCTGTGGCAACTCTGACAGAACAGGCAAACCAAGCAGTTTTGGTCTTAGCAATTACACGTAACAGTGTGGGGAAAAGGCAAGTGAAAAGGTACAACGTAAGTGATGGGTCTATTTCCGAACACCACAAATGAGATATTGGAGAATGTGGTTGTATGCCTACCCATAATTCAAGTATAAATCATTGCATTTACCTTTCGGCTAAAGATCGTATCCCTCTTCATGGTTACCTCATCAATATTCTTATGGTTTTGGCTATGTGTGCATGTCAATATGATTATCCGTTCTGTAATTTAATTTGCTTAAATATTTATTTCGAACATATTGAGTGTCATAGTTTGTGCGAGTCACTGCGAGTTGCGTGAAAGACGCGCACCGAGCGCCGTAGCTCACACCGAAAGGCCAATCTTTGACAGGGGAATATTGCGTTTGAATACCATTATTAATCGAAATTGATCATCATCACAGCACATCATTATTTTTTTTTATTTGTTGCTATCCTTTTACTTCAGGGGCTCACTAATAAGTAATTAGGAGCTGCAATAAAATTATTGGAAAAAGCACGTAATATATAAATGAAAAAGAAACAGACTTAAAGGAAGTACAAAAATGAAACTTTTATAACTTAAAGAAAATACAAAAAAAATGAAACTTGTAAACCTAAAGGGAATACAGGAAATAAATCCACATAATCTTTTCTATAATCCATGGCATCAATAAGAAATCTTTTCACAACTCTATCAATTTCTTCACATATCTCATAATTGTAATGCTGAGTGCTATCGTCTAAATGGAAACATAATAAAGCTTTACCCTTCGTAATATCTTCGTAAAGATTTGCTTCACCATTTTTACATAGGATACGACTAATATTTGTTATCATAATATCCCTAAGTTCTTTGTAGCTTTCACACTCTAGAACAAAGTGTTCTAGAGTTTCATCACCTTTCTTGCAGCATGGACATGTACAATCACTATTGACATTTGCCCACTTTCTTTTCTTATACGCAAGACCTAGACCTTTATAATGTTTAACTTCTTTTAAGTATTTTATACAATTCTTGATCCAGTTTTAAATTTCATGTAGTGGATCAGTCAGACTTGATTTGTTTGCCATGTTTTCAAGTTCTTCACTTATCTTCATCATTTGTTTCCATTATTAAGCATGGAAATATTCTCTGAAACTACTTTCGCATTTGTCGAATCCCACGCGATGTTTGTCGTCACCAGGAGCTTTGTTTCTCCTATTTTTACGTTCGATTTCACGCATAACGTTAGATCTCGCAGTGACCAGAAAATGGTTTATTATCAATATCCTAGTAACTAGTAAGGGCGTAACAATAGCGTGGTGGTTATGTTTGTCTTTTAGTCTTTATAGTGTGTAGTGTAGTTATCATACGCAACTTAAAATAAAGACGAGAAATCAATAAGTACATCAATTAATAAATTGAAATACATTCCACTAGTTAAATACCAATAAAAAAAATATATACAAAAATTAACGTTTTTGTATTTTTTTCTTTATAGCATTATTATTGTAATTTTCTGTTATTGTTGTATTTTTCTTACGATACATTATCCACAGATAGTAATTGTTGAGTAATAAAGTTATTATTATTATTATTAATATCAATACTAGATACAACTAGTACGTGGGAAAGTCGCAAATTTATAAATCACTTATGAAATGACAATGCAAAACCAAATATACAAATAGATTGAATATTTAATATTGTATTTTATTCGAATTATCAATCATTGCGTTGCGTGTAAATCGAAGGTAGTAGTTTTGAAACCAGGAATAAATATTTGGTAAAGCACAGTCCCTAAGGCTGCTATGTTCTGAAGATAAAAATTAACGAATATAACTAGATGTGTCGTATCACGGGGTAAATTCTCTCCTCTCGGGGTTCTCCACTCTGTCGGGGGGAATCTCGTCTCGTCTCTCTATCTCGTCCCCTTGAGGTACGGGATCGGGAAAGTCACTTTAACTTTACAGTCAAATAAGGCACACACAACGAAATACGTTTCAGCTCTCGTCTTAGTCGGTCAATCGAGCACTCTATAAGACACAGCGCCCTGGGGAAAAGTCCCCAAGACTGTCGCAAGGCTGAACCAAGACTCGCCCAAGACTGGACTGCCTCAAGGCTCGCCCCTGGACTCTCTCGGACTCTCGACTGCCCAGGACTGCTCTCTCTCTCTACTGCGTCTGTCGTGGAGTATTCGCCAAGACCAACTCAAACTCTCTTTATTCATTTTCAAAACTCTGACCAATTACAAAACAGTAAAAAGACTCTAGGGCGTAAACTTCAATCATAAAGCCAATCACACTAAGTACTGAATACGTCATATCTTTTGATTAATCGTTCACTACATTAATAACTACGGATGTCAGAATAGCGACGGTATCTTGTAATTAGTTCCAAATCACTGAGCCAAGTTCCGTCCAAAACTTCAAATAGACCTAAACGATGACGGACATAACACAGCAATTCGCTCGTAATCAACTAATTAAGTCGGTTAACAGATACGCAAAAACAAATTCATGACAGTAGCACCAGAAAGCTTTCAGAGGCAGTTATTTACCGAATTAGCAAGATATAACCCTATTCGGATCGTCCCATCTACTTTTACATTGACTTGACCACTTACAAGATGACGTAATTTACAGACGTTCGTAACAACGTAATTTTGTTCACTTTCTACTTATCAATAAATCTTCCATCAAGTAATAATTAATCAGTAAGAATAACTAATTTTCTGATGGCATCAAAGAATTAATAATACAGCTAACTAGTATATGTAATTTCAACGTCAGCCCAAGAACTCATTCGTTTAGTATGAGAATGTGTTCCTATTACGTAGTAACAATAATTGTATTTTGTATTCACCATTTTATTATTGGAGATCTGATTTTGTGTTGCATATAGTGACTATTTTGGAAGTAATATCATTGGGAGTTTAAAAATGAGCTATCTCATGTAGAAGAATACTGGTGATAATATGACTGTATAAATCAATAGAGAAATGACATCAAATAAAAATGATTAAAGGGCCATAGTCGTCGCACTGCGCATGTGTGAGATATAGGTCAGTCTCGTATAAACAAAGATGCGCACTCTAACTAGTACAAACTGAGAGGTTACCAAGCTTTAAATTTTTTTGGTTGTGTTTGGAAGGTATTGAGGGAGTCGCCGGCAGTAATTAGTGCAAGTGGTGCTCATGGCACTCGTACTCGTTATTTAATTCGAAAAGCGCATTGGTTTATGGGAAAATCAATGTTTATCAACACAAATGTCGCAGATGTGTTGCGGGAGGACTACCGCCTTTTAAAAAGAAAAATTGTCAATTTATCAAACAATCTAACTTGTAAGATGATAATCAATTGTTCAAAACAATTCCTAAGAAAATGTATCAATACATTTAGTGCCAACACAAAATCATTGCACATCTACAAAATGTTTAATTCTCTGTATAAATCATGGTTTACAGGAGCAAAACTTCACCAAGGTTTGTGTCCTGGTGTATCAATATCTGCACTATTACACTCCACTCATACATTCTCCTATTCAAACTCTACTGGCTGCTTCACTTGAACT